ACTCGCCGCCTTCGCCCCCACTGGGGCCTGCGCCGCGCTGGCCTCCTCCATCGCCCAGGCACCAAAACCTGGTTCCCTCAGGGAGCTTTTTGGCGGGCTTTCTCCTCTCAGGCTGAGCCGCGCGGCTTTCACCTCCCCGGCTCCACAGAGCCAGGGACCCATGCCAAAACATGCCGGGGCCCTCACCCACTTAAAGGGCCTGGCCCCCCCCCCCCCCCCTCTCCGCCAGCACCGCCAGTACTCCTCGGCGTTCGACCCCGTTCCCCCCACCCTCTCCCCAGGCCCCCTTCGGTCGCCGCGCAGCCCCGCGCGCCTCCACCTCTGGCGCCGTGATGGGGCTGCTGGCGCTGCGCGCCTCGCTGCTGCCCCTCACGCCCATCGCGCTGGGCCACATCGAGCTGCCTGTGCGACCGCCTAGATGAGCCAGAGACCCGACTCGAAGGCGCTCGCCCGCAGCCAGGGCACGCCCCGCGTCTGCCTGCCCCTCGAGCACACCGCCGAGGATGCAGCCGCCGCTCACGCGACTCCCCTCGCTCCCCACGCTCCCCTCCCTCCCTCCCCCCCCCTCCCCCTCGCCCTCCCCCTCTCAATGAGCCAGGTTGGCCGCATGCTCCTCGTCCACCTCCTGCTCGAGTGCCTCTCCAACCCGTCGCCGCGGCCGCGCGGCACACGCGCAGCCAGAGGCCGCGCCGCCCCGGCCCCGAGCGGCGACCCTCACCTCCCCCTCCGCCACCCCCCCACCTCAGGCGCCGAGCGGCTAGCGGGCTTGCTTGGCGGGGCGGCGCTCGTGGCGCTGCACGAGCCGCGGCTGGGCAAGGAGGCGCTCACCGCCGACGGCTGGCGGCGGCTCCTCGAGTACGCCAAGGAGCTCGTCTGATCTCGACGCATCTCGGCGCATCTCGGCGGAGGTGCGCTCGGGTGCGCCAGGAGGCACGTCTGACGCGGCTCTCGAGCGGGGGCGGGGCGGGACTGCCGGCGTGCGCGGGGAGGAGACGCGGTCCCGTCTGGCGCCAAGGGTCGGAGCGAGGCGCGCGGGTGGAGAGGAGCGCGGCACATACGCGAGTCAGAGAGAGGAGCCGGCCCGCAGCACCACGGTCACATGCGACCTGGCCAAAACTGTTTCGCGGGCGGGGAGATGACGCTTTCTTACGTACACAACATATGTGCATACGAACCCGCTGCGAGAGATCACCTTACGACTGTCCACTTGCGGTGACCAGTGAGCGCAGTGTGACACGCGGAGCCCCGAGCACGCACCACCAGCACCACCTCAGTGGGCTGTGCCAGCCGCGCACGGGGAGCAGGTACTCCGTACTCGCTCTGAAGCCGAGATAGGGGGAGTTTTTTTTGTTGCCACTTTCTTTTTCGGCATGACTTTGACATTTCTTTCGGGTGGAGCGCCCGGGGCGAGAGACGCGTCAGGTACAGAGCAGCTCCGGCTCTCAGGTTTTAGTCGCAGCTCTTCGCCCGGACGAACCGTTTTTTTCTGTTTGGCTGCTGTTCACAGGAGGGCTCGAACCACCGCCTCCTCCTCCTCCGCCTCCTCCTCCTCCTCCGCCTCCTGCTCGTACACGCGCGTTCCCTACCACCAAAACGCACCACAGCACGGGTTCGTCCGAGACGAGCCGAGATGCGCCGAGGCTGCCGAGGCGCCAGCGCGTCGCCTCAAGCACGAGCCACAGGACCTGTGCTCACAGCTCTTCCCGTGAGACGCTGTTCACGAGCTTGGGGGACGCGAGGCC